GGGGAATTGAGGGAAGGGGACCAGACAAGTTGCTGTCCTTTTGTTCTTCAGTCTAGTTGTGGAGGACATTGCTTCACTGGCCCAAGTTGGCACCATCAGTGCGCTCTTCCCTGAGCGAGGCTGATCAGTCACCGGCTTCTGGACGGCTGCTCACAGCTGCTGCTGGCTGCTCATGCTGGCTGCTGGCTACACATGGTAGCCCATGGCAACCTACTGCAGCAGGGGCTGCAGCCTATGCTGTAGCCGGCTACTCAAGGCAGCCCAGCTCCAGGTTGAGCTGTTATTCAGCATCTTAGCTGTGGAGGGCAGTGTCACTGGCCCTTATATGTGGGATCCGAACCGGGGCCCTCTGGCGTCCCAAGCCAGGTCTTAACCAACAAAACGCGCCACTTGGCCGGCCCTGGTTTTATTTTTTAAATTTGCATAGTGAATTCATGTAACATTTATTTATTATAATGGGTGAGATGACTAGATAATCCCCCTAACTTTCTCAATATCATTTACTTAATACGATATACTATCTCCATTGTTTGAAATGACAATTTCAACATATACTAAATTCTTGTGTATATTGGGATCTATTTGTTCTTTTTTGAAACCACCAGTACAATTTTAAATTATGTTTATAATACTACACATTTTCAAAAGAAAATTCTTGCTTATTCTCCAAAGTTACACATTTCCAGGTGAAGTTAAAAATTATTTGTCAACTAGAACAAAACCAAACTGTTCATCAATTTTTCTTGTAGTTTTGATTGAAATTGGGTTGTTTTATAAAATTTTCTGTAAGATAAATACAAATATAAAACAATATAATTTTTTCTGATATAAAAGGGGGACAGGCTTTTGCTCCCCTTTCCTTAGAGCACTACCTTGAGAAAATTGTAAAGCTTTTCTCTGTCATTTTGATACGTATGTAAATCTTTTTAGAAAATAAATAAGCCTTTTGTTATTTTTATAACCCAGGAAACCTTTCTTAAAAACCTTGTAGCCATCTTTGAAATGTGACTAATACAGATAACCACCCTAATTACCAGGTGAATATAGGATGAACTATGTGTAGCAAATGGGCTGTCAAGTACTCTTGAAGGTTACATATAGTGATTAAAATTCACACTTTTACATAAAGGTGTGATATTTCTTTTATTGCAAACTCATTAGCAGGTGATCTGATGTCAATCACAATCTAGATGAATCTAGTTTAATGCTAGATTTTCTTTTTTTCTCTATTTGTGGAGAGGATTTTCTGGATTCCATATATATATATATATATATATATATATATATATATAT